TCAACATTTGTGTAAAATGTGTTTGTTATACATCTATGGTTTCTTATATCTCAATTCTAATTTGAGACATAAATGCACTGTTTTTCAATAAATGCACTAATGTGCTTGTTTAAAACAGAAGTTAATTGCCAGTTCTATTCCCTGCGAGAACAGCTGCAGTGGATGTACAGTGCTCAGATTTTGAGTGTAGTAGAATCAAGGAATCATAGAATCATAGAATATCAGGGTTGGAAGGGACCTCAGGAGGTCATCTGGTCCAACCCCCTGCTCAAAGCAGGACCAATTCCCAACTAAATCATCCCACCCACGGCTTTCTCAAGCCTGACCTTAAAAACCTCTAAGGAAGGAGATTCCACCACCTCCCTAGGTAACCCATTCCAGTGCTTCACCACCCTCCTAGTGAAAAAGTTTTTCCTAATATCCAACCTAAACCTCCCCAACTGCAACTTGAGACCATTACTCCTTGTTCTGTCTCACTGAGGAGTTTAATATGTGAGTTAACAGAATATTTGTGTATCAATTTTTGTTGTTAAACTTTAAGGGAGATGAAAAGGATAAATGTTGTTGACTGGATTCTTTCCATTGTTATAGCACTTGCAGATTTTATAACAGCAGTTTGAATTATGGTTGCATGTATGTATATGAATGTACACACACTCTGAATAAATTGCCACAATAGATGCTTTCTGTGGTATGTTTTTCACACCTATGGAAAATGAACCAATGTTTGTCCTAGGATAGCAATTTTTTAATGGTATTGTGGGACTATATATAGAATTTGGGTGCATTAAAACTTAAAATTGTGTAATACTTGCCAAAAATGTATGAAAAATTAATCTACTTAACTGCCCTGCCATAATAGATAAAATGTTTTTAGTCCAAACACAAACTGCTAGTGACTTGGAACTTTGGAGCAATATGTTTTCATTGATTGATAGCCCTTTTGGAGTAACTAAATAAAATATAATTGTTTTTCCTTTTCAGATATTGCTTTGTTTTTGCTTTGGGATACCTCACTATGTGCCAAATTACTAGAGTCTATATCTTTGATTATGGACAATATTCTGCTGATTTTTCTGGGTAAGAAAAAATTATATACTCCATTTCCCCCACACCCCAACAACATATAGTAGAGCTTGTCTAATGTAATACTGTATTTATTCTGATAGTAAATTGTTGGATGATAGAACAACTTGAATTTCAGTTACTAAGTTTCTGTCACTACCTGCAATATTTTGGGCAGCAAAAAAATCCAATAAGTGGTTTTACAGCAAATCTAGTTTTGCAAGGCACAAATTTAAAAAGCACTAATTCAACAGTATTTAGATACTAATTTAACTTAAAAGTGAAAGTTTAGAAGTCAATAGCATTGAAGGCCATATTCCCTAGTGGAGCCCTGGATTGGGACTCAGGAGATGTGGGTTCTGCTCCTGGTTCTGTTGGTAGCCTCTTGGGTGACCTTGAGCAAGCCACTTTCCTGCTGCGTGACTCAGTTTCCCCATCTGAGAATTGGGATTAGGACACTGGCCTTCTTTAATTGCTTTGAGATGTACTGCTGAAAAGCACTATACAAGAGCTAGTTGATATTATTTATTATGCTATTTTTCTTCCCAGACTTCTGGATTTGAAGTCAGAAAGCAAAAGGGAGCACACAGTGTATTAATATTAAAAAATTCTGTCAGGAAATATAGAATTTATACTAAATTGTTCAAATAGTGCCATTTGCCCACCATGTATAAATAACTTCCTTCGGGTATATAAGTGCTCATCCAAAGCTCATTGAATTCAATGAAAGCCTCCCATGGAAGTCAATGGGTTTAGGATCAAATCCTTAGAGTACTGGTTTGGGAATACTAGTGGAATCTGAAAAGTGACAAGCATTTTTTGGCATAATCTGATTTATTTACAGTAGCTTGATTAAAATGTGAAAACTTATCAAGAGCTTCCAGTAGTATATGAAATGTTGTATCCTGTATTCTGCTATGATAACTGTTGGAATTTGAAGCACATTGATTTCAAACTCAACATTTTACTGAGTTTTACCAGAGTCACAAACTTATATAGTTCAACATATGTTTTCTGGGAACTTGTAAGTTGGTGGAATTTTCCATCAGAAAAACACAGAGGTAGATAGCATGTCTTTTATTTCAAGAAATAGTACTAAAACAAAAAATGAAAAGACGTTATCATAAGCAGGACAGGAAACAAAACTTTGCAGCTTGGGGTTGACCCTAATCCAATGATTCTGGATGTGGAGCCTGATCTTCTCAAAGGCATCCTCCTCTTAAGTAACCAATTTATAGAACGTCCATGAGTATTTGTGGAAACTGAATTGAGACCCCTTGTTCACCAGTGAGTGTCTCGGTGCTCTGTCGTGCGAATTTTACAGACTGAGAAATAAGATTTTGGGGTGCTAAAGCAAAAGATCTGTCTCAGCGTTGAGAGTGGCAAAGACAAAGACTGTTTCTTGGGGGGAAAGATTGAGGTTTTTACAGCGTTCTTCCTCCTTATCAGATCTGTGATAGCCTGTTGGTGTCTGTTTTGCATAGAATCTTCTGCCAGATCAATGGCTGTAGGTATCACAGAAGATGAGAGTGAGAGGGACTTGTATTTGGCAAGACATGGCTGAAAGAATTCTTAGTAGAAGACTGATTGAAATGTTAATCATTATGAGGGGAAGTAGAAATAAAAAGATGATCAAGAATGGGATCTAGTGATATATCTATGGAGCTTTTGTAGGGGGCTACTGCTAGAGTCATCCAATTTAAGGCAGAGAAGGGACCAGTATATCATATAGAAACTGTTGAGTTAGTTTCCAAAGAAGCAGTCTCGCAATAATAGGTGTTTTTTCCCCTTAAAGTCCCAGCTCCTAGTGAGAGGTAATTATACGATAATCTTAGTTTACTTTTTTTAAGACTGAAAGCTTCTAGCTCTCATGACTGTGGAGAAAAGCTTAAAAATATGAATTCTAAAGGCTTACAAACTTGAAGGCAAATGTAAAATTTATTGTATTTCAGATCTTATTATTTTAAAGCCAGGCTTATAACTTTGGGGGATCTGACTTGTGTTATGAATGCTCGGGGTTGGCAATACTGAGATTCACGTACGGGCAAAACGTACCTAAGCCATTGGTTAGATACAGTCCCATAATTTTTTCTTGCCATCAATTATTTAGTCTCCAAAGCAGATGTTGATGTTACTTGGTACAACTAATAAGAGTCTCAAATAGAGTTTGAAGTGTGATAGAACAGAATAGGCCAAATTTATTCCAGATTTAACTCCACTGAAATCAGTGAATTTATATCAGAAATTAATTTAGGCCCAGTATATTTAGTTGAAACAAGTAGAAATTCCACTTGTAGTTGGACATAGGCCCAGATGTATTGTAGTCTGGGTCTTTTAAAAATACGTAATTAATAGAAGGGAATTGCCCAGTCCAATTATTTCTTCCAGCTTTTACTTAACTCAGGTGGTGCTTTCCTGTTCCTATGCAATTATTGTATTTTGTCACTTGGAGGCCAGGGACTTTAACCAATTGCTCATATTCCTGTTCTGTAAACTGTTACCTTTTGTGTGTGTGTCTCTGTGTGTGTGAATTTCCAACCCTGTTCTAGCTGCACAGACTTTTAAAAAAAGTAATAAAAAAATTCATACACAGTAAACACTTTGACCAACTAAAACACAAAAATTACTGGCAGGGCTACACAGTGATGGATAAGGCCAATAAACTGAAGACTAAGCTGCCTCAAACAGGGGCACAATTCTGTAAAAAGTGGAACAGGCAGTTGCAGGAAAATACCCATATATAGTGCAACATTAATTTGACATGTGGTTTACCTTCCAGACTCTTAGTTGTTTGGGAATTGGTGGCATAATCATGTAGGCATCTAGCTATCATGTGATGGGCATACTAGAAATGCTCAGTAGATATTCAATACCAACGGAATACACTATAAGAAAAATGCTACAGTTCGGAACACACAACACAGATTAAAAAATACTATAAACTGGCCCTAATGTAGAAGCTGAGTAGGTTACTGTATTACTAAGATTGTGACTGTATATTAAATCTTAAGTCATCATGACCTAAGCAGCAGCTAACTTCACATTCCTACTGCTCTTTGGAAGGGCATTCCTGGGCATATAACAGCTAAAAGTCAAATAATTCAAGTATATAAATAGAGAAGGAATAATCACGAGTAGTGCTTTAACTCTGAATTTCCTCAGTTTGTAATGTTTGGTTTAGTGACAACTGCAACATCTCTGTAACTTGCTTTTTTAAACCTGTAACGGTATGTCTGCACTGCAGTCCGAGGTGTGTTTGCGGAAGCCTGTGCTGCTACACTGCTATTTTTGGTTGTGCTAATGTGAGTAAAGCTAGTGTGGACATGTGTACTAATGCTGCAGTTACACCTTGAACTGCAGTGTGGACATACCCTAAATTATCAATCTGTACTTTCAACTGTAACTCTATATCAATGTAGTATTTTTGTCTTGGAATAAATAAAAGGATAAATAAGCAAAGTAAAAACAAACAAAAAAAATTAGTAAGGATAAGGTCAAGAACAGCATAGTTTGTCACATGCCTGCAATGTGACTTCAGAAATCACATCAGCATGAACTATAGCAAACTTCTTTAGTAATGTGATCATCTGTGAAAGTGTAGAACTAGCTGTTGTAAACTGAGAGGAATGTATATTAATACATACGTCTGCCTTTTGGTAATAATTTTCTAAACATTAGACACCCATACAAATGAAAGGTGGTTTATTAAGTTAAAAGTTCCAGCTGCTTGTATTTTCTTTCGAATATGGGAGGGAAAGCTTTACAACTAGTCAATATTATGTATTTACAGTAAAATCTTTATACAGAAAAATTAAATGTACAAAGATATCCTTAGATAGTAAAATAAATAGTTCTCTGCTTCATATCTTGTTACTTTTTTATTCCATCCAAATAAATTACTTCAATTTTTCAAAGTTAGTTACATATTATTAAAAAAGATGTTTTTGTTGTGAATATGTGCCCAAATTAATTCTTGAGATTTGCTGCCCTGGGTTTTGATTTCAGCTGAGCTTCTTAAGTGGGTTATAGCCTTATATTCACTTCAGGGATTGCTCTTGTCTTATGCATACTGCTGCTGTTGCTGATTTATAACAAAGAAATAGTCTTCTGTGCCCTTCGCCCCTTACTCCTCCCCCTTAAAATAAATAAATAACATACACACACACACACCATGAATTTATATTTTCTTCAGTTAAATTTCTGGAAATTTTCTCTTATTTATTTAAACATTTAGGACCCAATTCAGCAAAATGTATGCATTGCTTTACCAAACTGCTTAAATCCTGGACAGTTATAGATCTTGGCTCTTCGGTGGACTGACCTGCTGTATGTAAGGAATATTTTCTCCTCGCTGTGTAAACATAAGACCAAGATCTAAGCTTCAGCGGTTAGACATTTTGTCCTCTTCCAGTGGGGATTGCTAGTTTAACCTATTCCCAATTTTAAATGTGAAATTAAAACATGGATATTCTTATTTAAAATATCTGTATTTTTTCCCTTGTAACAGCCCCATGATGATAATTACACAGAAGATCACTAGTCTGGCTTATGAGATTCATGATGGTAAGACTTTTTGAACTGCATTTTTTTACTTTAATTCTTCACAGTGTATTTTTTATAATTTCCCTTCAGTTTATTTTTTCAGAAAATTAAACCATGAGTTTGTGCTGTGAATTTTATTGTCCCACTACACTTTTTTTTGTGGAGGGGGGTGGGGGGGAGCTTGCACAGAATGCAAGCTCTGAAAACAAGTCTTATTGTTCAGAAGATACCACATGTCACCAAAAGATTGGCCTGCCATCCTCTCCGCCTCTTTTGGGCTGGGGCATAAATCTCTAATGAGTTAGCAAAACAGAATCTCCAAATTCAGAGATCAGCATTGGATTCACAAATTGGTAGAACAGGTACTAGTTGCTGTGACTTTACATGACATAAATACCACTTTTACTAAAAAGGGAATGAGTAGAGAAGAAAGACAATACTTTTTTCTTCTTTTCCTAAATTTGTTCTTTGCTATGTTTAATTTATCTTGTATAAGACTGTTAATTTTAATGTTTATTGGATATAATATGAACAGAACTAGAATATGTCAATTGTATATTACAAACATGTTTAGGCATGAACAAAGAAGCTTCATAGTTGTATATATGTCTTAAATGGCTAGAGAAAAGTTGACAGGAGGTAAATTGTCCCAGTGTGTGACAATATATAGAAGTGAGTCTTAAGGGTGGGACTGAAAGAAATGATTGGTATCAGGTTATTTTATGAGCTAGTTTGATTTCTTGGTCACTTTGAGAAGTAAGAATGATAGTGTGGACCATGAAAAAGACTGACAATGTGCCTTCCACAAAAACGACTTTAATCAATTTTAAAATGCTTAGAGACAAGATTAAATATTGAAAGGATGACTTCTGGGATTATAGCCACAAGCGGCTGGGGTAAGCTACTTGTTCCATTGAAACAGGTTTAAGAAACTTACCTGTTCCATTGAAACAATTTAAGAAACTTCTGATCCACTGTTTTTAAAAGCCTTGTTTGTGTAAAATGAACTGAAATTGTGGCTAGACAATCCTCTGTTATTTCAGCTGTTGTGCATTGTATTTTTTGTATAGCACTGAAGTATGCTTGAATAAGCTCTGTGATTGTTTCCCCTTGGGAAAACTCATGAAAATGTGATGTATATCTCATGAGACTAATCCAGTGAGAGGATTTTTAAATAAATGCATTTGTTGTAAAATAATTGGGGTTTGTTTTGCAAATTATAAATCAAATTTTCCAACTGTCTATAATGGTGTCCTCCAGTCTTTGTTGTCTGGCTCCATTTTATTTTATTGAATTGTAGAATATCAGGCTACAGGAATTAAATGTTATTGCTTCAACCCCCTAGATTCACATGTCTCTTTACGTGCATAAGGATGGGCCTCTACTCTAAGTATCTTGCAATCTATGTTGAACACAGCTAATGTTGACAATGTAGGAGGGAGAGGAAAGAATGCCAATGACTGACTGGGCCAATCTCCAGTTAGTTCTGTATTTATACCTTATCAGTGTAAAGCACAAGGACTTTGCCCCTCCCATTCACTCAGTTCTAACTGCTGTCACACCTATGACTATTTCACTTCAAAGTCTCTCAGATTTCAGAGATTAATTCAAAGAGATGATTGTGTAAACTAGTGTGACAAAGTTCCTCCTCTATCTTGGTGGGTCCTGTGTTTATTGGCGGATTTTCTTGCCTCAGAGATTCACCATGTGGGTTGGGGAACAGCCCAGAGACCTTCCCCTCTGGAAGAACCCACAGTCCAGGTCAATTGGGAGGTTTGTCGGGGAACCCGGGCCCACCCTCTACTCCAGGTTCCAGCCCAGGGCCCTGTGGACTGAAGCTGTCCATAGTGCCTTCGTTAACAGCTGCATGACAGCTACAACTCCCTGGGCTACTTCCCCATGGCCTCCTCCAAACACCTTCCTTATTCTCACCACAGGACCTTCCTCCTGGTGTCTGATAATGCTTGTGCTCCTCAGTCCTCCAGCAGCATTCACTCTCAGCTCCTTGCACCTCTTGCTCCCAGCTCCTCACACTCGCACCACAAACTGAAGTGAGCTCCTTTTAAAACCCAGGTGCCTTGATTAGCCTACCTTAATTGATTCTATCAGCTTCTTCTTACTTGGCTCCAGGTGAGGCCTCTGACACCTGGCACTGCATGGCTAGCAAACCAGGTTTGCTAGTCT